AGTCCACGCTAGATATGCAAGGTTGGCACAGTGTTTTGTTGTTTGAGGAACAAAATTTGTATTTAAATCAATCACGTGTCCAAACAAAAGAATCAGCATGTAGCCAACCATGTTTTACCTATACAAGTTGGAGCCAAACTTTGTGCCCCACTGTCAAGTTTTACTGTCATGTGTGCAAAATGAGCCAAACCTTTTCTGCAACTTGGTACATGTACATACACAGACAACAGTGAACAAAAGTTTGTACACATCATCTGTGCACAGTGGCAAAGTGAAGTATTGCAGTATGCATATAAACAAATCGGAGCACACTCTTTTGTCCTTGTACAACACTAACCAAATGTTTGGGGTTATCACTGACAGGTGAAATCTTTGAAAAATGAGTTGGCTTGTTTGTATTAAATGATATGCAAAACGTTAAGCTCACTATCCTTTGATTCATCAAGCTATCCAATATTGTTCCAATAATGTCATTGTCTAACAACATTCAATTTACCAAGCAAAGAACTAATTCAAACTGCACATTTTTGGAAATAAAAAGCCTATTTCATAAACCCCATTTTATCCTGAACTCCCCCCCCTTCTATCTTTCTGATACCCCTCCAGAATATGTGTGACCATTTTTTCTTCATCTTTTGAATCTCCCTCGCATGTCTCCGCAAGATCATGTGACCCCGTTTATTTGCAGTTCCTTGCAGCCCAGATTGGCTTGTTCCAACCTCTGGACACGGTACACCATTGGTAAATGAAAATCACCTGGAATTTCTTGTTCGGTTTCACAATTCCTTGGATACTTTAGCACATTTGTACATGTACGTGCAGGGTTCCAGCTGAGCTCTACATGTAGCTAACCACACATTTGCTTTCAGACACCAACATGTTCCTCTTCTGTACAGTGCTCAGGAAAATGATTTTTCTCAGCAGTTTCTCAGGTTTTTAGACAAAGTTTTTGGAATATTATCCACTTGGCCATGGCAGTAGTACATGTACATGTATACTATTAGTAAGTGTGGATAGAAAACCCTTTTTTTTCCAAGTTTGAGCAGATTTGAAGTTTGGAAAGTGAATGTCAATGCCACAGAGTGATATTTTAAAGAAATTCCACTTGCAGATACCTGCATGTAAAGCTTCTAGTCTTGTACCTAGGATCTTGCCACAAGATTTTGAATAATCCAAATTGAGGAGAAAGGAAATGAAAAATGATATTTCAGAATAATATTGATTTTTGTAAGTAAATATTTGTTAATGTTTTTCTGCACAGAAAGTTTATGAGATGGAATGTATCTCTAATACTAAATGAATAAGTATTACCGAGGAGTGTAGCGAATGAAAGTGCCACATGTTTAAGTCATGACTTGAGTTATTAAGCACATTACAGTGCATGCATAGTTTTGGATTGTGGTACAGAAACATTGTGTTATGTAGACAGGCATGAATACTGTTGAAGAACCTTTAGATCGAAAGAATAAAAAGGAGGGGGGGAAGATATCCAAGCATAAGAAATATCTACTTGCTTTATAGAGAATTCTTACCAATGGTGTACATGTACTGTGGTGTCAATCCTCAATATTTATATCTTTCAAGTATTTTAGAGTTAGATTTTTAACTTTGTTATTGTTTTCCTTCTGGCATGTTTTTTATGGCAATTTTTGTAGTTCTAAATGTTTGTGCACAGGTCAAAGAAATCTACCTTTTTTTTGCAGGAACCATGCAATTGTAGCTTGTATGGGCAGAGGCTACAGAGTTCTAGGGATCGTGGGATTGATGTACATGTACATTGTATCAGTGGAGTTCGTGTGTTCCATCCTTTGTGAAAATTTTGACCTCGGTCCTGCTGGCCGTACTAGTAGAGTCCCCATCAAAGCATTTCGAGGGGAGGGGGTTAACATGCATACTCACACAATTGTTTCCTTTTTTAAAAATTTTTTGCTGATGGGGGTGTTTGATTCCTAAACCCCAGATCCACAAATGCTAAGGAGTTTGGTTTGACCTCAAGTCTTAAAACACTCATTTTGAGTCCAGGCTTGAGCCTGTGAGTCACAAACCTCCATACGCACAACAGTGTAGATACACAATTACTGAGGCTTTTGCTTCGACCTGAAGTCTCAAAATATTCTGAGTCTGGTTTCAGGTCACACTCCCTAAACCCCTAGATCTGTGATCGACAGGATGTCCGGATTGAATACACATATGTACTTTAGTAAGTTTAGTCTCAAGCCACAAGTGCGTATGGCCTGTATCCTTTTGAAGTCCAAGTCTGGTGCTCAGTTTTTGCAGCTGCAAACCGCTCACTTTCAGCACCCGCACGCAGTCAGCCACCCGCAAGACATGTCCAGAAATGTGGTAGCTCCACACCACTCGTGCTAGAACTACCCCTGCACGTTCTCAAACAAGTTTTATCACTATAAACCATGGCACTTTGTCTCTCTTTTTCTCTGCAGCTGGAAAGTCTACCACAGACGAAGAGCTGGAAGACATGTTGGAGAGCGGGAACCCTGCGATATTTACATCTGGTGTAAGCTGACCGCCCCTTCACTCCCCCAAAATTCTATTTTCTATTTTTAGCCAATGATGCAATTGAACAGTCAAACTTCTCAAATAATGCTGCCTAAAAATCTGATGTGCTTTGAAAAAGTGTCAAAACTGACTGAAATTATTGAGTAAGAAGCTTCCAGAAATCAGGATCGGATATTGCTACTAAGTAAAAGTACCCTGTGTATGAAGTGTTTTAGTAACGCTGGATGCCTCCAGATCACGGCAAATTTCTTTCAGCCGGTCGTTCTGTCCGTTAATCTCTCCCCAGATCATCATGGACACGCAGCAGGCTAAACAGACGCTGCGCGATATCGAAGCCCGACACAACGACATCATCAAGTTGGAGAACAGCATCCGAGAGTTGCACGACATGTTCATGGACATGGCCATGTTGGTAGAAAGTCAGGTAAACACTCTTGACGCTTTGTCGCTTTTTGTCTGTGTAAGGTAACTCTACTAGCCAGTGATGTACGTGTGTGACTCGGTTAGTCAAGGTGAGCACAGGGTAGGACTGTCTTGTGCTTCAGTCTCAGGATTCCAAAATGCCCCAAACTCGGGGTTCAAATCGAGCTGGTGGCATTGCTTTGCCTGTGTCCATTGGTAAGATTTCAAGGATCCAGACCACAACTGTTAGGGGCATAGGACCCACATATGGTCGTGAACAGTAACAGAAATCGGTTGTGGAAAATCGTATGTTGCACCAAGTTGCACAGTCATACACAATTACACCTGGAAACCCATGTTAAAGACTCTCTACAGTAACAATGGCATCCCATAGGAAGAATTGAAGACATAACAAGAAAGTGCTCGACCATACCTGTCAGACTGTGACATCATACCTAACGACACCGCTGATTGGCCAGAATGAAGATCTTCATGCAGTATCTTTTTCAACTCGCTCAGGCCTCTGAAAGTAGTGGTTACAGTTTATCTTCCCTGGGCTTGAACAAACCCAGACAAAACCACCGACTTTGATATGTTATCATTGCGCGGAAGTCTGTTACCTCCAGTCTGTGTAAATGAGCTTTTGGAATTCTTTTGCATGCATTTCAGACATTCTGGGGTTTTTTTGAAAACATGTTAAGCAGTTGGCTGCTTTGGAGTTTGGAATTTGGCTCAAGTACAGCTTCAGTGAAGGGAAAAATTATGCTTCAGGTTTAAGTTCTAAATTGTCTGGTTTCCTTAGGGAGAAATGATTGACAGGATTGAGTACAACGTAGAGCAATCAGTGGACTACGTAGAAACAGCCAAGATGGACACCAAGAAAGCTGTCAAGTATCAAAGCAAAGCTAGGCGGGTAAGCAATCAGACTACTCTCATTTTTACTAATAGTCATTCATCACAGTGTAAGTACTTTGGGTGCCAGACCGCCGTGGGTAGGTATCGCATTTTGCATTGGATGAGTGTAAAATACATGGTAGCCAAATTTTGGAGAACTGGTAACCTTGCAACGATGTTGAATTGGTAAGCATTTTTCTCAGTAAAAAAGTTGGTGTGAATGTGTGTTGGGATGTGGCTTCTGTAAGCTCAGTTTCGCTAAGCGAGTAAATGTCTTCAGTAGTGTCGCCAAATGACTACCCCTTTGTTTCAATACCAATTCCACTCACATCGAATTGCGAATTTCAAATAGAAAAAATGACTTCACAATCTTGGAGTAAAAAGTTTCACCCAGTGCAGTGTGGAATTTACCAAAGGATACTTTATACACGTTACCAAACGCATCACATAACACTGTCATATGCTTTTCTGCTTATCCCGCCCATGCCACGGCATAATAGTGCTGTGATTTTGTAACCGTGTCTCCTAGATGCAAGACATACTCATCAACAGTGAACATACAATTTCTTTTATTAGACTGCTATTTTTGCTTTAATATCTGTGTCGATGTTTTGCTGTAATAAGCACTGTGGTATCAGCATTGTGGATCGAAAAAGTGATTTTATTTTGTACATGTAGATTTCTTTTGATTTTGTCTGGTGAATCTGTAATATTTACATTGTGTGTGTTGGTAGTGACCTCTTGTGCACATTTGTGTTGAAAACAAAATACCAACATCTGCCTTTCAGAGTAATTGCAGATTTTTGCAATTACATGTATACAGACAGTGTGTCCTTTTTCAACTAAAAAGACAGACAGTTTAGGTTGAGTTCTGATTCTAATGACGAAAAATCTGAGGCTTTTTTGTGCGTTGTGAAAAACTAATCCCGATATCCTGCCAACAAAATTAGAATCCTCAACCCTAAAATACCCTAAAATCATGCCCTTTCTGTGCAAAGTGTGCATACAACACGGCACTTCAAATCGGAGTAATATGTACGAAAGTTGTAAAAGCGCACTTTTGGAGTACTAACCTTGAGCGGGTACTTCATGTTTGACCTTTTGCGAGCGTAATGTCACCCCAGTAATGGCTTCTACATGAACATGCAGTAGTAGTTGACAGATTAGCACACATCTATGCAATCTTAGACTTTCCCCAGTCTTCCCCCAAAACACATTAGTCCTCGCTTCCTTCTATCTCTGTTTTAATAGTTGTACATAACTGTAGTAAACTGATACTTTATTTCATACATGTAGTTGAGTTTGGTTTGACTATGCAAGTCAAATTAGGAAATGCATTCATGCATATTGACATTTGACAACAAACAAAGTTTATTTTGGGGGTCATGTACATGTGTAAGATAACAGTGCAATACAGAGTTTACTGACAGGGATAGGGACATTGACATTGTGGAAAGGACCTGAAGGTCATCTGAAATGGGCGTGGCTGTTGTCTCTTTGATGATGCGTCAATGAGACGCTAACCCAAAGGAAGGGCTTCCTGTACTTGCATCCGACATTATCAACTAGGAATATCATGCATCTTCCATCTTGGAATCCAAGAAGATTGGCCCCGAGTTCAGCTGCGGACGATTGAGAATTCTGCCCTGGGTATGAGGTTGAACCAAACATGGTGTGATTAGCTCATGCTGCAATGGAAGGGCACTCGTCTTTGTTACTGGTCATATAGCTACTGTATTTGCATAGTGTTTTTTTTCACCAGTGAGACCTTGATTTCAGGGTTTTTAATCCAAGAAGTTTAGTTGTATTTCTAGGCAGTTCTCTTAAATCTCAGCTACTCAGTTGACAATGACCAAAATACACAATCGTCACACGAAAGACACTAATTTCCATGCCAGACACACAGGAAACAGTTGTCTGGGTGTCACATCATTGATGTCTTTTTCTGTTTTTGCATGCCATTTTTGCATCATACATGTACATGTACTGCTGTTTGGTGTTTCATTTTACTGTTTTGATTTTGCTTGTCTGTGGCTTGTCTGTGAGTGCAATAGTCTCATAAGCACAGGAAAACTCTCCACAATGTAAACTTCTTTTCTTGCCTGCTAATCATTAGTTGAACCACACAGTGTCGTATTTGTTGTGCATGGAAACATGCACCCTACCTGTGCCACTTGCTGGTGCAGCCAACGAAATGAAAACTTTTGCAATGTCTTTAACCTAGCCCACAAATCTCAACTGGAATAATCCAGGGGAAAAAAACACATTTCAAGCTTTCCAGTGACAGTGAAAGAATGCAGAATGAAGGTTTCCAGTAAATGGGAAACGCTGTTCTCATGATATAGATATTTGTGTGTGAATTTGGTATTATATGATGATGTATTTTTTTGTGGAGAGGTTTTCTGTGTGGAGAGTGGTGAAGTGGTCACAATGTACCTGTGCGCTGTTTCCGTATTCATACATATGCTGTGATCAACTGACCCACTGTACTGATTATGCATTTGATGCTTATTCGTGGACATCTTTATATTAACATATTTATTAACAATGATTCTTTTCCATTTTAAAGGAGGTTCCAGAAACCCCTACTCCCCGCAGAATTTTTCCTTTCAAATATTTCCCGACTGCTTCAATGTGTATTTTGCACTGTGCTGGAAACAAACAGTTCAGCAGCATATTTAACAATAAAAGAAATCATTCATTGACTCATTCTAATCAAAAACTAACTGTATTCTCTGTGAAATGTTTTTAAAAATGGGAAGGAAAAGCTCTTCATATCCACGAATAGCAATCCTTGATTTCGTTAATTATTGCTAATCATTCCATGATCATTTCCACAGCACCATGGTAATTTGTCATTGCTTTATGTGCTTGCTTGACTTTCTTCCTGTCCATTTTCCTAAGTTTAAAGGTTGGTTCATTCTCTGTGAGAAAAGGCCAAAAAATTTGTGACAGTGTGACAAGTATTTGTACGGCGAGTTTGCAAAAGTGGAAGACAGTTGAACCTTGTGGCATAATTTTTTGCCGCAATTTCTTCCTGATAAAGTTTAATAGCAGTAGCTCACATTGAGTATGAACCAGCTTTTCTTAAGGGAAAAAATTGGCATTTGGTTAAAGATGATAGCAATTCTTGACCCATCTCCTCACTGGCCACTTTGCCTCTCTCCTCCAGGGCACTGACATGTATTCATTGCGTCATCAGAGAGAGCAATATAGGGCTTTAAAACTAGGGCCCAATTTCATGGCACTGCTATGAGCAAATGATTTTGTGCTAACAGAGAGTAAGCAGGGCAGAAGGCACTCTTACCGCAGAGGAAACAATTTGCTAGGATTCGCTTTGCTCTTTGCTATGAATCTCTGAGCGCCCATGTGTAAGGATGACCATGCCAAGCACCGCCACAGAATACTTTTCACAGTTAGCAAAATTTTATGCTATAGCAAGCACGACTTTTCTGCTGGCTGTTAAGCGATGCCATGAAATTGGGCCCTGCTTGTGAAGGGAAGGTTGAGGGTCCCGTTAGTAGTGTTAGCTGCACAGACGAAGCGACTCGTTTTGAGTGACCTGCATTGCTGGCCGTAGAGAGCAAAAGGGTCCATTCATTAATACCAGCAGTTCTCCAGAAGCGTTAATTACGATTATTGATTGCCAATGATTCTGTTTGGAGATGCAGGCCAGAGAGTGTATTGATGCTGGTAATGACAATATAGGAGGGCTTCCATCCGCTTTCATTTAATTCGACATTTGTAATCCAATTGCACAAAGTGGATCTGCCAATCCCAGTTTCGAGTTGCAAGCTCTTGAAGACAAAGTGCGTTTTGATTCAATCACTTGAAGAGTTGCCATGGTGTTCAGCACCATCGTGTGCTTATTTGGCAGGCTGATAGATTAGAAGCAATTCATAATACCAAGCGCCACCAAGAGGTTGCCACAGAGAGGCCAGGTTTCAAGTTTAGCATCGACTGAAACATGGCCGCCTTGCCGCTCATTGCATTTGAGCATGTGCCAGAAGACACTTGGGGAAATATTTGATAGGTTGGGCCATTCCATGCAATGGAAAGAAGAAATCGTTAATACAAACTGCCACTCAAACTAAACTTACAAGTCTTCTCCCCTGACGAATAAACAGTGGAAACGATTCAAGTTCCCCACGCATAGAATTTGGCCATTTCCCAAAAGGAACTGTGAACAATGGCCCTCCCCTCTTAACCTCACTGTATTGTGAATCACCTGTATTGTAATGCTTTTTTTGCTTATGAACACCCTGCCAAACGGTGACCTCAAAGGGCTGTGGACAGAAATTCCATCATTAATTCTTGATATTGAAATTCTGCCATGATTGAGTCGGCCTTCAATACACTCGTGGCTTGCATTCGCCAAAACACTGCTTTTGCCTGCATTTTCACATCTCATTCAAACCAGGGTGGCTCTAACGGGTGTTTTTCTTTTCTTTTCTTTTTTTTTTCCATCTTCTCTCACACCCATTGCTCCGCCTCCTTGTGTGTGCAAACCTCTTCTCGGCATTTTGGTTTGACATTTTGGCTTTTATTTTGGTTAACTTCACCTCCATTTTGTGTTGTGATGATTTGCCGTGACATTGCTGCTGTTACAATCCTTGCTGCACCGCTATTCTGCGTAAAATGTCCGCCATACCTTGCCACGCCCTCTTCAACCGCTTGTTGGCACGCCACTCCGTTTTTTGTTTTGAACAACTGTTTCTGTCTGTTCCCCAATGCCCACTCCCTGCCCTCCCTGAAACATTCCCACCCTCTGCCACACCCCATTCCTTGCCATATCCAATACATCGCCAACCCCACCCGTGTTTGACCACACCCATCCTTGCTTCACCACCCCTTTTACTCTTCCATACCTTGCCTCCATTGTACCTCATGCTCCTGTCCTCGCCCACCCTTCTTCCCTGTTGGACCATACCCTGCCCCACCAAAATGTCACTCCCAACCTGCTCCTGTGCTCCATTCTCCCTTGCTCTTGTGCTTGCTGCCTCCTCCCTGGTCTGCCTGAATGAAAACCCTACAGAAAAAGATCTGTATCATGGTGTGCTGTGGGGTCCTGCTGACGATCATAGTCATTGTCATTATCTCGTCGGTTGCTCCGTCGTGATACTGCTTCCCACCACATGAGGGCGCACTTCTCCATCTGACCACCTCCTCTCTTTCCATCTTGTGGGACCAAGTGGCACCTGCACCATTTCCGAATCAGCTGGACACTGTACCTGTTACTGTGCGGGTCGGTATGGCATGGGGGGGGGACTAGACCATCATTCCATTCCTTCCCCAGTGGGGGTGGTTGCCGTAACGTCTGTAGAAAAGTTTGTGGAAAATGGTGGCACTGGTTGAGATTTTGAAGGTACAATGTAAAACATGAAGCAAAGACAAAGAAAACAGGAAAACTTAAGCTAGCAAAATTTGAGGTCAGGAATATTTAACAAGCAAAATGGGAAAGAAAGTAACTATCACATGACTACTTGTAGCTATTCTGTAAAATGAGACTCTCTTTATGAAACTTACCGTAATATCAGTTTCCACTTGACTTTCTAAATACATGTAGACTAGTATATGATACCATTAGGAAATGTGAAGACCAAAGGGAAGGGTTGGTGGGGCTGTTTTGCTTTTTTGGGGGGAAGGAAAGGGGGGGTTGAATATGTTCATGTGGATTAGAATGTAAGGATCAGTTTCGCTCCACTGTGTCCACTGCACGGACGTTTGCAGGATGCCTCCGTGGTCTTGAATTTTTGGCAGGATCGTCATTCTAGAAGTAGGACTTTGCTGGGAAAACTGTGACCCACAACCAACTGTATCATCAACTCCTGAGTTGGCTAAACTGTGTAAGGTCATCCAGATTTGGATTCTGAAGCCCCGCCTGGCGTGTCAATGTAGCGAACTGTCCGGTACCTTTTCTGTGGGTACAGACTGGTGACTCTTTCTCAAGTATAAATACGTCTGGATGTGCATATACATGTATATTGCCAAGTTTGTGGGAGTCAAACCGACATGCCCTACAAAATGAGGCAGAGGTATCAAAGGAAACATAAAAGGCTGCTTGTAATTCAGAGAAATAAAGTCGTAAAACTATTTAGAATTACAAAGTAGAATATTCTACAGATGCTTAAATTGTATTTATGAAGAAATAGTTCTACATACATGTATATTCATCGGATATCCTTCTAAGCGTGTGTGAGGTTACTGATTTGTCACTTTTTTTTCCTTGTCGATTCTTTCATCCATCTCAGAAGAGATCCTGCTCCAGTTTTTTGCTTAAGTACTGGATGCGCTGTGAGATTATTTTTAGGTTTTTTATCGTGGAGTTGCTTTGGACATTTTTACCTAAATATATATATATCTGCATAATTTTCAGTGTTTGATTCTCAGATATATGAGAGAATCATTTATGATTTATCAGTTGGCCTGAGTTTTGTAAGGATGTGTCATACACGCATGTAGAAAATAGTTTTCAGTGATTGAAATATGAGTGAATTATAAAAAAAACGAACATTTTGAGGTGAAAAGTTGTAGAATTCACAAACACTACGTGTTTGTTACTGTGTAACCTACATTTACACATGGAAAGTGTATATTCCATCTTTGTAATCAAAAGTGAAAATACAGTGTAAATTTTACTCAGTAGCTGATTTGTATTTCCACGTAGAGAAACCCCAGGTTTGTTATCATTTATGCAAGTGGGGAAGTTTTTGTCTCCCCTCAAAGTGAGCATCAGTGTCGCGTTTAAATGAAGAATTTGATTGTTTGGGATTTCTTATTAGAAAAGTTTTGTTCTGGCGTGAAGATGTTGAGATGTGTGTATCGATGCTGCCCCCCGTGTTTACCCCATCACCTCATTGATATGGAACAAAGTACTTGTAGGTTGGGCCTTCTTTTTATGAATGGAAAAAATTTGTATTTGGCCTCGTAAGAATTACTAGGCTGATCTTTGTTTCTCTGGTCACAAAACTTTTGATCGCTAATCAAATCGATGACGAATCAAATCATGAACAGCCAGATGCGCAGTGGGTGTTGCGATCTCGTCACTGCAAGACAGTCACAATTCATCTGATGCCAAATCATGTGACCAGTTCACATGAACCATGGTGAAGGCCTCCTTTTGTTGTCATCGTTCCCAAAACACCTGACTTCACTTGTGGCATGACTAGCTAGACATGTACCTGTAGGCAAACTGGGCGTGATGTGTGATTACTCTTTGTGATGGACTAGAGTACATCTGTCCACTGGCCCTCTGTTGAACTAGCTGATGTCCAATGAGAACATTTTCGAGTGCCTCATGACAGTGGAACCCAGTGTCATGGCTATGCTAACCACAGAAATTGGGCTTTTTATGGTCACATCATTCTTGCAAAGAAATCCCCGAAAGCGCCGAATCTGCAAATCTCATACTCCTCACTGACTCTTGAGATGCACCCACCATCGGCAAGGACTTGTCTGCTGCAGTAAGGCACATCTTCTTTGCTTCTAGATTTAGTACAACCAATGGAAATGTCCTAAAGTGTCAGGTACCAGCAAGGACACAAAGCTGCCAAAACCCTGTCAGTTTGTACAACCGAAACACATTTAGAAGTGTGCCTTCAGAGTGCATACACGCAGAGTACATGTTATTGCTGTTCCTCATGCATATTCACAGTTGAGAGCTGAATCCTTATTTGTCTTGTTTGTCCATTTACCATCACCTGCCAACTGCCATTCTCGCTATTTTCGTGCAGGTTTAAAAAAAACAGCACACGAACGCATGTTTTTTTGTGGATGTTGCCTACAGTGATAGTTTACATGTAGCACATCTGCATACACGTTTCATAGCAATCTTTGACCAATCACTTTGGGCTAGTACACACAACTGAGCATGGGCCTTTTCCATCTTACATTTTTCCTTCTGGGATGGATAATCAATGTTGGCTCCCTTAGGTGCGGGAAGTTAACCAACTGGTTCCAAAGGGCAAAGTTCACTGTTAGCGTGGAGCGTGATTTGACAATCTGCATGATTACCTGATCGTGCTGTGTGATTGGCAGATCCTGTTGTAAATCTCCAACTTTACTTTCCTTAAAAAACAAAAGAAAACAAAACAATCTTCCACATCCGCAAATTAGAAAAGGCTGATGGCTGCTCACAGAATTTTTGACAAAGCATGGAATAAAATCTGCTGATCTCGCAGAGCTTGATCGTTGACACAGATCAACCCATCACGTCAGCATGAGTATTGCTCACCGAACCCTATTCGACCTCAAGGCTACACGTAGGAGTAAGTTTGATCCAAAAAACATCTCAACCAAACTGTGACACACATTCCTCAAGCACACGTTGCTGCATCGTGGGAGAGCTATTTGCATATGGGTAATTCCAGAAATTAGGGTTACAAAAGTGGGACATTTTTGTGTCCCTGTTACATCTGACCTTTGTTATTTGACAGGGAAATATCACCAGCATTGATTTCTAACTATTAGTATTTGGTAGCTTGGTAGGTAAATTTCCATGAATTCATCACTCTTGGAAATTAGAAAGTCTGTTCTGAACTGAAAAAATCCTATGTTACATGTAGATGTGACAGGGGCACAGGAAAAAAAACGGACCCCTAATATCTGGAATTACCCATATCTTGTAAGTCGTACACTGTGAAATTGGAGTCAGGACTGAGCCAGTTTTTTTACTCCCATCAGCACATGCTTAATATGAGACTATTCAGGAACAGCTGCATGCGGGCGAGTCTGTCCTCTCAGCACAGCCCCATGCTGACTCATGTGAGCGCTTTATTCCCGATAGACCTTAGCTTTGTGAAATACCGAAGTGGCCCATATCATACAGAAGAGGATGGGGTAATCTTCCCATGCCACTGTGTAAACTGATAAATACGCACACCTGTGTAAAGTGAACGGTACAAAGCCGTCACGGTGTCAGAAATCTTTGGGTACGGAGTACTCTAAAACCATTCCGGATAACATTTTGTGAGAAAATACAATGTCTTAGTTTGGGAAAAAAAGGGCCTGTTTAGTTCCATCAGATACGAGCGTGCAATATAAAGCCAACGACAGTTGCTGGGGGTGGGTCAAGGACACGCCTTCCTCAAAATCTGCCCTCAGATTATGCATGGCTGTAGTGAAAAAACTTGCTGGCAGATGTTTCATGAAAGTTAAAGCAGGGAAAAGACCCAAAAAAAAGGACAGAAGACTGGTATCAGTCCAATCCTAATTTGCCATTACTTTTTGTGTGTGTGCTAGAGGCACGTTTTATTCTTAGTATGGTTGCATGAAGAGCGATTGAAGATTAAAAAGAATTTGTACATATTATAAGCATTTATTGTCAATACAACTTACAGTATGTAATCATTGATATTTATATATATATATTCAACCTTTTTACATGTAAGGTGTCAGTGCCGTTTACGTTTTGGAAGTTTTAGCAGTAGTTGAGCCTGGTACAGCGTAAGCTCGATTGAGATAGGGGTTCAGAGTTTTTGTAAAAACCTGTCATTTTTAAAGAACAAAGTTCCAGCAGTTGTTTCCATTTTTGTCTTACAGTGTAGTGTGTGCATGAAATTACAAAGTTTCCTTTTTCTTTTTAGTTTGTTACCAAAGAGACACACTTTCCTGCGGGAATGTTTTGCGAAAGTTTCTGGAATTCTTCAGTCTTGTTTGGAAACAGTCAAGTCATTTTAGCCAATAGAGGGGGCTGTTTGATTCTGTGATTCTCTCTCTTAATTCCCTCCCCCAATAAAAAGAGGGAAGAATTTATTTTATCAGGAAAATCAAATAAAGGTTTAATGATAAACTCTAAAACTCTGGTCTTCTACATGAAATCAGAGTTTTAGAATTGAAAACCGAAGCTGAGCCAAACTGACCTTTCTTTTATTTGTTGTTCACATCGCTGTAAAAAATACATTCCACATTTATCCTATTTGGCATCCATTTATTCCCATCTGTGGTCGCGAACCATTATAAAAATACTGTTTTTCTTTTGTCAAAATATAAATACATACATGTTTTATCAGTGTTCAAATGTTGTATACTGTTTGTATATTGGAGTATTCATGTACTTCACTGTAGCCTAGCAGGAGAAAAAAAGAAATAGACGAAGTCGTTAACGATGTCTTATTTAAATCTTCTTGTACATGTAGAGAGTAGTCTGAAGCTATCAGCAAATTTGCCCTGCTTGTTCCCAAGGCATTGTAGAATATTCAGTGGAACCATATTTCTCTGAAATAAAATATTAAGTACTCTACCCAGATGCTGTCGGCTATATTATTTGATCTGATTTCGGCAGACAAAATATTTTAGTTTCTTTTGCCTCTTGTTAGTTAAGGTCTGTGTATCACTTTGTGATGTATTGCTTAGATTTCCATTGCATTAAGCTAAGTTAATCACAAAGTTTTCTATAGACGTGTATGTTGTCCTCAATATGTTTTCTACTGTCAACACAGCAATGGGTACCATGCCATTACTGTGGCTTCGGTCAGAGTGGCGAAGCTACATCCAAACGTATATGTGGCTGAAGGCAGCACATATGCCTGCGGGAAGGGACTTCAGCTGTGAATTAGTGGCTCCCCATAGGTGCATGTACTTTACCTAGCTGCCGCCAGTTCCTTCCGAGGCAGCCAGCATCCTCCGACTCGGATTGTCCTGAAATCTCTACCATCATTTTGATTTCTCTCACATTGCAGACTTCCGTTTACATGTCAGCAGGGTTCTCCCCAGGAATTTTCAGAGGTGTGGGGAATTTTTGTGTTAGCGCAATGACAAATTTGCGAAGCGGTGGCATAGGGTTGAACTTCAGATGCTTTTGGGTGCATTCTAGAGCATTTCCTGAGCATTTCGCTCGTAATTGCACATTAAAGATTTAAAAATAACTAAGTTCTTTATTTTCACTATGTTTTACAAATATGTTTACATTGATTTTGAATTGACCAATCTCTTGATAGGCAGGTGTTGCAAAGTTCTATTTTTCAAATTTCTTCTGACAGTGTTATTGCCTCCTCAAAAGTGATCTGTCTTTTAAGTCATTTTCGTTTGCTCTAGTATTTAAAGCAAAACAAAATTAATGTTAACGTAGAATATTCAGCAATTTTCAATTTCCTTAGTGCACTGACATACATTACACTGCTAGGGCCTACATGTACATCTAGCATTGCTGATGCATGAGCATCAAGTGTTTTGTTTCAATTTCTTTGTAAGTTTAACAGAATTTATAAACATATTCGTAGATTTTATTAAATTAACTACCAGTACTGTTCCAGTCAATCCCAATTATGAATGAACGTTGGGAATTATTGGAAAATTTTGAGCACAAAGGGAAACTTCTGCTCAACCATGCTTAAACTTACAGTTAGATGTATGAGGTCCTCCCACTAAAAATAAAGAAATGAATAAAAGCTTATTGCTCTAAACATTATTTCAATACCCATGATTTCTCAAACTTTTGAAATGTCAGAAAAACAAAGTATGGATGTCAGATATGTCAAGCCTAGATGCAGGGCATCAAAATTTATTGTGAAGTCTGAAGTTTCCAATTAAACATGTACATGCATGTCATGTACATGTCTAGCCGCACAGTTGCCAAAATCTCTCAAAATTTGTTTGAATGTACCTTTTTAAATTGAAATCAAGAGGAGAAAGTCAGAAAGGTTGTCAAAGAGTGTTACATGTTTAATAATCATGTTATTTCTTTTGGAAAAGCGGTTAGTACTATGAACACATGACAACCAGGGAGAAAATCACAAAAGGCAGTCCGTATCTGCCCGTGTGCAGCCTGCGGCACATGCTAAGCTACCACGCACAGCTCACTATGTTGACTGGACGCCACGCAAGAAGGGCCTGCCGCCCTTTTTGAAAAGAAATCGATTAGTTTCATCATACACGTAATTTGTTTGGCTTGTTTGTGTTTGCGATAATGTGTCTTTGCAATTGATATTGTACCCTTCTTTTGCCCCTTCCCCCAACTTTCCATTTCTATTTTGCTGCTGCAGAAAATGATTGTCATCGGCATTTGCATTGCTGTCCTGGTTGGAATCCTCATCATTATCTTAGTTACCACTCTAACCTGATCGAGGCGACAAAGTAAACTTCTGATAGCACGCATTAGCCATTTTTTGCCTTTTTTTTATTCATCCTCTCATTTTTCTCAATCAGAAATTAGTCCTCCCACTCAGGCTCATTGCATGGTTTCATTTTTTTCCAGTCACTGTCTTTAAATAGCGATTTCTCAACAATTAAGAATTCTGCAGCCTCACCATTTACGTGTGAGGTCTTCTGGGCCTTGAAATGAGATGCCTAAGTCACAAACAAGCAGCACACGTCAAATTAATCTCTTGTCCCTTCATTTGCTCCAAGTGTGAATTATGCCATGATATTTGCGTCATTTCCCACAAAAACATGTTTATGTTGGCAAAAGTTTACCCTCTTAAAGGGAAAATATTTGGTCCTGTTGCAGCAACAAGCATATTTTAGTCAACAGACCATTGACAAACATTGTACATGTGCTTGAGTTTTGTTTGGGCATTAACTGTTTCTGAGATAGATGTGTCTATTGTATTTTTCCACACCAACTTTGCACCAAATGCTGTACCTACTATACAAGTAATACTACGAAATATTGTCAAGAACTTTTCTTTTGTGTAATCAACTTGCTTTACTGTAACTTTGATTTGGTGTCATCGGTGATAAAACCCCCCTTTTTTGAACATGTGTTTGGTAAATCTGTTAAAACAAGGTCACAACTTATAATTTCTCATAATAGATTGGTTTTTTTATATAATGTGTCAGTTCAGTCACAAATGTCAAAAAGTTTCCACAGCCAATGAAGATAACTGAAATGCTTGTTATCGCAAACATTACAGACAAGTGTTCTGTGTCAGATGTGAATGCATGTTGGCCTACATGTAATGATAAATGATTTGATTTACCTCTAAAGTTGCAAGTCACCAACAACTGAAATGTTGAAAATTTTAGTCATCCATATTGAAATATTCCTGTAAAAGTACATGTATTTTTTTATGTACAGGAGCATTTGAACCTCGTAACACCCAAACATGTTTAGATTACACCTTTCATCTGTCGGGAAACATCACACGTTCATAGCAATTTTTTTTAATTTCTCAAAGCTGGAATTTGGCAGAGGGATTTTTCAGTTTGTCACATTGCATGCCACCCTTCTCAGCCAGCAGGTGTCCTGCTCTTTTTAATTTGATTTTTAATTCCCTCCAGATTTTTTTTCCCGGTAATCTATCACTCATTTTATTCTCAATGATCTTGTTTTCATTTGATTTTGTTCGTGTTAGGAGGAGGGGTTCACAATGCAATACATCTTCAAAATGAATGGACTTCCTGCACATGTTGTCCCGTAACTTTGTTATCATCTGTCTATTGTTTTATGTTATCAGGAACACGATTTCTGAGGGTTTGTCTTTAATTTCTTGATTTTTTACTCCAATTCTGGAGTTTTAAAGTTGAAAACACTTGTGTGTTTGCTACTTTCTGGCACACTTCTCCAAAAAAGAAAAAAAAATGAAAGATTCACATTGTTGCAGCCATTTGGAAAAAAGCAAACCTTAGGATGTGCCTTGATAGATTTTAAAAGCAGTGAAATGTCCTCATATTCAATTGTCATCATTGTACCATGCCCTCTGCCGTATGTTTTGAGGATTTCTCATCCTTTCCCAATCTCATCCCTATTCACATGCTATACCATAAAAATATACAGCTGACGCAGTTGGGAGCCCTTTGCATAAAAATCCATCACCGTACACTGACAGCATGGAGGAATGTGTTCTTATTCCTCCATGCTTACAGAACCCCAACTTGAAGGGCATTTAGGCATGCGCCCCCTTCCCTGCCCCGACAAAAAAAGCTGTCAATTCACCAGTTTTCACCTCATACAAAAGGAGCACTTTTGGCAAATTTCTGCTAATGGAAGTAGACTTGTTTCAATGGTGCATTACATTTATGTGGGAATTAGCATATGCACTGAAGTGATGTCTGTTTCTATATTTCCGATTCTCAGCACTGGTTTGGTGGCAGTGGTGGTTGTTTGAATCCAAAATGGACAGAAATTATTCATGAACTGCTCCATTCAAATGTTGAATTAATCCTCTACCGTGAAGTAGATGGTATTTAGAGATTACGAGAGAAACGATTTGCAAAGATTAAATTATTTGTGAAGACAATCAATTCTGCAAAATTGTTGGCTCACCTTCAAGGGCTTAAATGCATTCATATTTTTATCTATTGATATTTTTGTCACCAAGTTGCAGGTAAAACCCCTTGATCAGTTAGTTTTCAGCTCTCGGTTCATTTCAGGCAACGTTTGATTTGTATATTCTACCCAATGTTCTTTGTACATTGTACGTGATATAATGAATCACACGAAAAATGAGACATTTTTTAAGTGGGAAATGTTTTATAGACATTTATGAAAATAATGATGATTCAGTTGCAGTTATGCCATGTTGCAGGCCATTTCACTCCATTTGGGAACACTCATTCAAATGTTCCTTTCAGCACAGTTTATGTCATCATATAGATTGAAATGGGCCATTCACAATAGTGCACCTCCAAGAGTTTGCAACACGTTGACCAATCACAGTGTGCAAAATCTGTCGACCCTGTCCAAATGCGTATCAGGTGGACAGATTTCAAGCACTGTGATTGGTCAACACATTGCAAACTCTTGGAGGCACACTTTTGTGAATTAACCGTATTGAAATTTTTCATCTGATTTATTCCCCCCCCCATTATCACCCTCTTTTTCCGTTTACCCCCTCCCCCACCATTCACAACCTTGATGTCACGCACATTGTTCTAATTGTTTTAAATATCTCTCTTTGCTTTTTTTTGTCTTTCCCGTCTACAGAAAAAGATATACATTCTCATATGCTGTGGCATTCTAATAGCTGTGGTAGTAATTCTTGTAGCTTCGATAGTCCCAAATGTATAAACTTGGCCTCTGACCTCTTGGGGCTGGGCCATTGTTTTCTGGGTAAGGTGCACACCGCCTACACGATCATCGGTTCTACTGGGGCACCAGTCTATCTCCTCACCCCTCCCGTCTTCAGGGGTCCGTTGGACACCCACCAATGACCTTGCATGCTGTCAGTCGCACGCACACCATGGAGCAGGGATTTGTCCTCGTTTTCTCCCCCTCCCCTCAGTTTCTTGCTCGACTGTAATCACTGGTTGACAAGCTTGGGAAAGACAAACAGGCATCAAGTTTGAGACACAAAGGGTGCA